TTAGTAACTAATTTAATTACATTCTCCTAGTATTTTGTAATTTCATTAGGCAAGGTGTTTTCTGTAGATTCATTAATCATAAATTAGTGCTCCCGGGTATTTATGCGTTTCCTGGATGGGAAGTGCCATCTTCAGGTCTCCACAGCTGTTCACTGTGATTGAAACATTTTAACTTTGTCATTATGCATTATTAAGTGGAGACTGATGGGCAAAAGTGTCAATTTTATCAATTTTAAATTAACTGTATGACAACAAAATGAAGGGGCATTGATATTTTTATATTTAAAGCCAAATTAGATTTAAGACAATATCCAGACAAAATGTAGAGAAATCAGTGTCAGAAGGTCACTAACCAAATTTTTGACTCAAGGAATAAAAAGTAATGAGCACAACTACATAAAAACAACTTTACTCTTACACAGATGACAGAGACGTGAAGAAGTGGATGTCATTTGGCTTTTCCATTCCTATCTCCCCAAAGATACACTAACATCATCCCATGGGTTGTCTAAAATGCCATTTCCACAGAAAGAAAACGGCATCCTCTACAGAGGTACATCACAGGCCATTGTTCTGTTTCTGAAAGCAAACTGCTCAAGCAGAACACCTGTCAGGGCAGCACAACTTCAGACAGATGAGCAATGGAATGAACACAGGACATCTAGGCTGAGAACTAACAGGCTGATAAAGGTTATTCAATTACTCGCTTAGAAGAAGAAGTACAAGAGGAAATGACAGCCTTCAAAAAGGGACTCCATTACCTTCAGGCATCTCCTGATCGCATCAGCAGGTCTCAGACGCTCTACTGTACTGAGCCAGTATCAGACACACAGCCAATAGATGTTCACACATTCTCTTATGCCTTGACATTTGGTCTTCCTAATTTAAACATACATACAGCTTGAAAGTTTTGAGCACTGTACAAATGATGCCAGTCCTAACTGTGCATTTACCTTCTTTCACTTGAGTACAGCAGCACAAACAGTTGTGTAAATTTGTGCTGTGTAATGTTCTATTCACATTTTTGATACAAGCAACAAAAGGTTTCAGTTGTGAGAGGAATTTGAGTTTATATGCACTCCACCAGGATACATAAATCCTATTCGAGTACCTACTGAAGTATAAAATAAATACATAAATACCTTCAGCATAAGGTATGTGTTGCATATCAGTCTTGCACAAACCTTACAGAGAATACAAATGCACTCACTCATTCCTGGCTGTTCAACAAGGCTTAATTTTCAAGAATTCCCTTTAACGCAAACATCAATTAAGTAAAATGCAGAAAAGTCCGAACCGTAAAACATAAAGCTATTTATCAGTCAAATTAGCAGGCTAACTCATGCCATATAGCCTGGTGACATACAACAACGGCAAACGCCTTGTCAGTGCTGTTGTAGGGATATGAGTCTTAGTGGCCCAGAGACAACTGACTGCCAAATTAGCATTTTATAGTCTTGAGTTGTAATGAAGGTATAACTAGACAGAACAAGGAAGGTGGGGAAGAGGAAATGAGGACTTTGCTTGATCTACAGCAATCAGGGTGATTGTCATTCATACTGTTGTAAAAGTGTACCAGAGTGTAATTAATGTAAATGGTTACTCAAGGAGGCATTAAAAGAAATTGTTACAGATTATATAAGGGTCAAAGTAAATACTGGTTCACCAAACTGAGCCAAGAAGGTAGGACTAAATACTGTAGGGAACAATTCTCAAAAGTGATGAAAGGAGACCTCTATCGTTACTAAAACCCTGAGAATTGGCTAAAGAGTTGAAGGTAGAGTTTCCCAAAATGTACTAAACATGTTCCTTCTGTAATTAAAAAGGGATGTAAGCTGCAGCATGGTAACTACAGGATTAAAGATTCAGTTGCAACTGCATTAACAATTAACCAGAGGTGGGAAGTAGCAAAAGTACAAATACTTCTTTACTGTAATTACATAGATTTCTCAGGTATCTGTACTCCATTTGAGTATTTATCTTACTGCCTACATTAACACAAACATCTGTACTTTCTACTCCTTTCATTTTCAAATGGAATAACAAATGCATGTCCTTTTGCCATCTGCAATTAACTGTGTATATATCAGACATGTAACCTGATTCTGCTTTGTTCAACATACACACAATGATGTTGTCTACACAACAAATTAACTTCATTAAGAGCATGTGTACACATGATGGAAAACAATAACCACGAGCAAGGTCCGCGCTCAGAAAATTATGTCAGCCGAATGTCTAGTCATCAGATCAGTTGTCACCATTATACTTCTAAATGTTAAATGGTTTTACAGAGGCACCGTCTCCGTTAAAAAACTCGATCACTCTTCGTATTATTCCCCTTTTGAAGAATAAACAGAAGATGTTAGCTAAAACCTTGGCCTTTTCTGGTGTGAAATTCTCCAAAGATAATCACAGTTTGAATAACACGGCTTCCACATCTGGATATCTGCTTAGTTTATTTTTCATATTTATAGCTATCTTCTTTGCATAGCATCCCCATAGCATTAAAAAGGCCAATTAAACTTGGCATGAAACAATATCCACAAAAGGGTGAATGAAACATTTCTGATTTACAGTTGTGTGATGAATAAAGAATAGAAACATGCAGAGACTGTGCTTGGGCTCTTTCAATCTGCAGCACTGGGTTTATTTAAACAAAGAAATGGACATTAATCTTACTGAAACTATGAAGAAAAAGAAAACAAGTGCAGTTTTGTCAGTGCTAACTAGAAAATGTTTCTTCATGTGTTTCAACCTTCTTATTTAAAAACAAAAGTGCATCTGCTGTCTCATAGAAATAAAACCATAAACCCATTACACTCACATTTTTTTGATAAGTTACCATTGGCTCTCAAATGTCTAACATCAAGTCACTGAGTTTATTTGGGGATTTGCTCACATTAAACAGAAGCAATTGGACATTATAAGATACAGACATTACACATATTTACAAAACTTATCAAAAATCATAGAAAGGTAAAATACATCTACTCAAACCAAAACATATAGCACCATTACTCTAGAACTTCACTTCCCTTTTCCTTGCTATACCATCTGTGCATACAGCCTAACATTTTTGCACTCATTGACACACACACACACACACACACACACACACACACTCATCCAATATGAGGAGGTGGTGTTTGTATAAATCTAGGAGGTCAAGTCCCTGTTGATCCCACCACACCCACCGGTTCTCAGAAGGGCCTGGAAGTTAAATAACAGCAGGATAGAGATCATTCACACTGCAGCCAGTCCCAGAACAAATGCAAACACACATGGATGTGCGCGCACACGCAAGGCATCAAGTCCACAAGTTGTATGGCCTATACCCACACTTCCTTCCATTCTCATCACCTTCCCCCGCACAATCTGACTTCCTCCATTTTACAAGCCTTGTAAACAAACACCCAAAACACTAACATTGCATAACCCGAGCAGCAACCCTAACCAGATGACACCCCAATACACACACACACACACACTTCCTGTTACACTTGTCTACAGCAAGAGGAAAATATGTCAGAACTCTCCAAGCTCTGACTCAAGCATCCTCCACTTTGGTTATCATTCAATATCTCTTTCACTGAAAGGTCTCCCCCTCCTCATCCTCACTCCCTTCTTCTCCTTCACTTTCTTGGCTGACAGGTCCTTCCATCTGTTGGCCAGCTGGTGGAAGAGTAGGATTTGGATGGGGGAGGGGGGCTGTGCCACCCGGTGGTTTGCTACTCTCAACAGCCCAACTTTCTCCCAGTGACAGCAACGACTCTTCTGTAGGTCTCATTTGATGCGTTACCACTATCAGAATGAGCAGTATACCCCGTTCTTCCCTTACCCATCACCAAGCACAGCCTCTGGGGTTGACACGGGCCTTCTTTCCACTTTATTCTCTCTCTGTTGGTCTCCGTTTAGAGGGAGGGAGGGACTGCTCCCCTCTCACACACCCAGTCAGCTGTGGTTTTACACACAGTGCTTGAAATGCTATAGCTTGAGGTGTGAAGACGTGAACATTTAACCGACCACAGACGACTGCTCTGCGTGCACACACCTCTCCTTCCGCACATTCCTGGTACTTGATTTTAGTGTTACCTCCCGAGGGGTGCTGAAATTTAGCTCCCAGAACCCACCTCCAAAGCAGGCATGCTGTAGTGGAAACACACAATGTGTGATGAACGTTACTCAGCTTGACACGTTTCGGTCATGTCCTAATGGAAAAACCTCTATTAAGGCCTGACCAGTACCAGGATCACCTCCCTACATTATATGACAGATGACACAGATGTCCCAGCATCAAACACAGAGCACTGTAAGGAATCACTGACCTAACTCTTGATCCATATCACAATATTCATTTTTTTTTATCATCTCTGGAATAAAATGACTAACTACTTTAAGTTTGACATTATTAGATAGACCTACAGTATCACTGGCAAAAAAAACAAAACAAAAACAATGTTGTTAACAATCATGTGACTTGAAATATCTGCATCAGACCTGATTGGGCTCTTGTGCAATGCCAAAGTAAGAAAAAGTATCCATCTCAATGGGTACTATTGAGCTAAGCCTGTGTGTCACTCATCAGTCTTCCCCCCCCCCCCGCCCTCTCCTCTCTGCCTCTAACAGACAGGTTAAGGGCAGATCGGGGTTTGACAACATGCAACCTGATCCTGCTCAATGCTCTCGTGCTCCCTCTCTGTCAGTTTACTCTCATTCCCAGTGTTGGTTTGACCTGTTCTGCATTTTTTTTTAAATTGTGTTTTTATGTATTAAGCCAAGAGCTGAGTTTCTTTGAGAAATACTCTGCGAATACCCCTGTCATTTGGATCCTCAGGTCTATCACACAGGCCGCCGTTTCATATTAATCTACTGTACCACATGCTCTGGATACACATGATCATTAAGATCACTAGTATTTAAAAATGCAGTTTCAAACCCAAGGTCTCTTCAAACTTGAAACAATTGCTGACAGAATGGGTCATTCAAGTTATACTGACCTCATCTTAACAAACCTCCACCCCACGCACACAGCTTTCACCGGCTGTCTCCTGCATCCTATTCAGACCATGTTGGGTGAAAGCCCCAAGTCTTTCTTCATTCAATAAGATGCCTGCCCATTTCAGTCGGGGTTTCCATGCCTATCCAAACACGGAGAGGAAGGTTAGAAGAAAAGTCCACCAGAGAGAAATCCCATCTGTGTCCTCATCCATTCTGTGGGTCTGGACATGAGCAAATAACTTGCTTTCACCACCCAGGCAACCTTCTCTGCTTCACACTGGCAAGCCATTTGAGTCCACACACACACGATTCTGGATGGCAGACCCAACAGCATGAACTGAGGGAGATAAACGCTTTAGTGCTTGTACAGAGAACATGACTTCCTGGCTTTTTGTGATGCTGGCAGCAAAGGCTTCTGAGAAGCTTTTTAAAACCCTTTAATGTGGTATTAAAATGACATGTGTGGTCTAATCCATTTCTTTTCATCTTCAGTATTCCTCTAAATGTTTGGGTAAAAAGCAAAAGGGAGCATTGAAAATGCTGCCAAACTATTGTTTAACCTGAACTCAGGTCCATTATTGCAAAACCAAAATATATTTTAGGTTGAATTTTGACCTGATCAAAATTTTATGAATAGGCGCATCATTTGTCAGTGGCCTTACACTTTATAAAGGTCAAAGCATCATTCCTCTTTCAATTACATGCCACACAGACACAGAGCAATGCGATGGGAAAGTTCAGTCCTCAATTGGTGAGTTTGCTTGGACCAACATTTCCTTTGTATGGTCATCTCCTCACCTCTGTTTGGCCCTGACAGCCACAGAAGAGAGAGTGAATAACCCACACTGCACAACACTATGGACTGGGTGGCTGTTCTATCAGGACGCATGGTTCTCTCACCATATGCCTGTCAATTTACAGTTCACCACTAGCCTTAGTTGTCAGTTTATGAGGAAAAGGAAACTATTAGTATAACAGGGCACAATTTAACCTTCTAACTACACCATGTTTTTCACATAAAGATGAAGTTTTGCCTCCCAAGAGAAGGGAAGCAACCCACCCTTCCTGCATGATAGTAAAATCTACATGCAGAAATGGAAAAAAACTGGGGATGAGAATATGATTTATTATTATTTAAAGGATTTAAACAAAAAAAATTGTTGGTTCAATGATTGTTCTGGATGTCAACTAGGAACACACCATTTAAAAAGCCTAGTCATTTAAATATTCCCACCGCTAGGGGAAACAAAAAAAACGCAACCCTCATTTTCATTTCAAGAAAAATGTCAGACACAGTAGGACAACTTCAGATGTCGTTTGCACCATATGGGGCCATCTACAAAGTCTCTGTAATTGCACACCAACTGCAAGGACAAACAGCAGCCGAGACCACATGCTCCCACAAATCAAACCTTGACTGCTCTTCTGTGTTAACATTTGACATCAAGCACTAAAAGGACAGGTGATGCAATTAAGATCATTTCATAGTCCCGATTCACCGCCTGCTCAGCAAAGCAGACAAAACTGAACAAAAAAAAAAAAAAAACAAAACAACATGTAATGAAAAGTAAAAATCCAGGCATATGCTTTTCAACTGAGGAGCTTCAAGCATAGTGACTAATCTGGAGTAGGCTACTAGTTTTGTTTTGTCACCTGATAAAGCAAAGTTAAATGTAACAAGTAGTAGTAGTGCTTAAGGTTAAAAGTCCGGTAATATACATTTAAATGGACAATAAATTACCAGTAATGGACAATAAATTACCAGTACAGAACAATTTGTAACCAGGGATTCTCAGTCTGTTGGCAAACTCTAGATGTGATTTATAACATCAGCACAATATCAATGGCTAGAGTCAGGCTGGAGCTCAACATGAAGCATCCTGCCAGCTAGGTACATCATCAGAAACGCTCCAATAAGGAGACTTTTGTTTGCCTTAGCAACATCATCTGTGCCCTCTTGTGGAGGTCTGGCACAGTTCAACCTCTTCACACTTCATTACTCCCTGCATTTCTCTATTTGATCACAGGCAAAAAGACCAAACCTGCTGGCAAGGTACATCTGTCAACAGTCATCCTAAACCTCTCCTCTTTTCTCTGGCTGCTCTTCTTTCTCTTCTCCCTCAAGACTGTTGGCAAGTCTCAAGTACTTCTTAGCTTCATGGAAATATATCAGTATCAGCCCCAAACCCCTCATTATTTGGCCTAGACTTGAAGAGTCTTTCAAGTCAAGTCCAAATATATGAACTAACATCACTGAGGAACACTAAAACTCCTCAGTTATCAATAATTTTGCTTCACTCACCAGTACATCTTCGAAATGAGCCCAAGTGTGACATAAATCTGAAAAGCAATTTGAAGGGAGGTTTTGCAGTCAGCTTCTGTCCCACTGAGATGATGCAAGAGACAAAGGATGATTCAGGGCCCCGATCCACTAAAAAGAAATAGAGAAAGATGAGAGAAGAGCAGTCACTAAGCAGACATTATAATATAACCTACAGTCTGTGTGGTGATGATGCATCTTACCCACTGCATGTAATGTTGCCATGGATACCAATGGCGTCGCCCTCAATAAACCCATTTTATTTTGATGTTGGCTCTTGACTGAAACCCATCACATTAAGTTTGACTGCATATAATATACAGTACATATTGTATAGATCACACTCATGGGTTCAGAATTTAGTAGACAACCATTTTTTTGAACTGCTACTCTACATCCTCATGGTTCCTACTTAATAGTAAACTAAACAGTGTGGCTTCGATATTGTTCCATATTGGGCGGTTGAGGGAGACTACCTGCTGTGAAACCTTCTGACACAATATTTTCATTTGAGTAAACTCTATTGCTGTGGACCTAATGACCTACTGGGGTTTCAGAAGTACTCAGTTTGGATAAACATTACATCTACAACCTTTTGTGAAAATGGTCCTAGAAAAGGTTTAAACTGTCCTTAAGTCAGATACCGTATAGTGAAAAATCACTCTGGGACAGCTGGTATAGACATCTAGTCATTCTTTGTTCAAAGTCATAAAAAGGAAGCACAGAAAATGGAAAGCATTTTGAGCAGCCAGATCTAAAAGAATAAAAACATTTTGACTCAGAATTTGATCCCAGTTCTGCCATAAAATGTGCAGGGCATTAACCTTGTTTGTATGTTAATACTTTCACCATCCTAAGCAGATCATGACAAACTCTGTCACAGCTGCCAATGTGAGTTGTTAATATTCCTGTATGTCCATCGTCATTTGACTGTGCTGACCATGACCCCTGAGTAATTCCACTTTGTAGTTGAGATCAGACTCTTGGCAGCACTGATCTTTGATGAGGGGAAATAGCGTCATCTTGATGACTGAGAAGGAAGAGAACCAAAAACTTCCAATGTTACTCACGCAGCCACGATTCATTTGTCCTTTGTCACGTTGCCTGCCATGACGTACAAGCCTGTGGCCCTCAGCCATCATCAACTGACTGAAGATAATGCCGACGACATGTATGCACAAAAAGACAACTCATACTCTACTCGCCAACATGATGCACTAAAGGAAGGAGCATAGGAAAGGAGAGAGGAGAGGAAAGGAGCAGCAGGTGTGAAGCAGCTGAAAGCTGTCAAACCTCTTCTCCCCTGTGGTCAGAGTTTCACATGTAGTTATTGAACACAGCCAATCATCCACCCCCACCCCAAAACCGGCCAATAACAGTATCATCATTCAGTCATACTCCACCCTTGTCCTGCGTGCTGTCCCTTGGAGCCCTGATGAAATAACACAAACCCTACAAAAGAGCCTTTATTGCCAAATCAAATGACTCAATATTATTTCTACTGCTTTGGTTATCTGGAACATATAACTGATTACTTAACAGCTTAAAAATTCATTACAGTAAGAAGGGAAGGAGCAAAGAAAAACAGTGCTTTGTGGGAAACTCCCTTTCATCATTTCAAGTTTCACAGATTACTTTGAAAGGAAATCTGGCTACTGAATGTTGTATAAGTGTGGAACTTTTATACTGTGGTGGTTTATGTTGGTAGTATGGTTTTGGTGAGGGCAGCAATAACTGAGCCACAAATGTGTCCAAGGTTTGGCAAAAATAATTAATCCTCATTATCCACAAGGCCATGGTGTACAGTACATATCAGTTATATGTCTGGCAAGCTGGACATGACAATTTCTTCCCTAAAAGTCTCACATCACACAAAATATTTATATCCTCTTTTCAACAGAGGAAAACATGGCAGTCCTTTTACTGGAATAAGAATCTAGAACACATGATTAAGATAACTACCACAAAACAAATCACCTGAGTAATATTTTCTACTTGATGTACATTGTGATGACAAAATATTATATAGTATATTCTCAATACACAAAGTAAATAAGGGTGAACTTGTAGAGACGAGTTAAAGGAATAAGGCTCCACAAAAGCATCCAACAGCAGCCTCTGGCAAAAGGTACCAAAGCATGCCTGTGGCCAATCAGAACAAACAAGAATGTGTAACAAATCACCTCTTGTGTAGAAAGTCATGTGCAGACTCAGTAAATTCACTGGAACTTTACATGTAAATGAAAAAGCAAAAGAGCAGGGATCTAGAGGAACTGTGTGCACTTTTGGAGCACAGGGTAATGAAAACATCAGCTCTAATGGTGAAACACAATTGTAACTGGAGCGGCTGAGGTGTTCCATGTTACCCCGAGGGGGTTTTAGTGGAGGCTGAAGACAAAGCAGTTTGACAATGGTTATACATATGATCAGTGCTTTTGCGTCTCTGGCACAATACTTAGTTTCAGTCCACTCCAGACAGGATCAAAACATCCAAACAAGCAAAATGCAAACATTTCCTAGATGCAATGCCCTGCCAGACCAAAAGTAGACTCTTGCGTTGAAAGAATAATAAGACTAATATGAGCACAAAGATTCCGTGAACTCCGAGACAAGCGATGAGTTTGAATGAGTCATCTGACCCAGGTCTAAGCCTCATCCACCACAAGACTTGCCAGTGTGTAATACACACATACAGGCCAGCCTTTGAAAAGATCCCCATGCGTCTGGAAACTGACCACATCATGGTCAGGCAGAAGAACCATAAATCAGTCTGTATGAAAACAAAGTAAGATACAGACAAGGCAGCTCACACTACTGTAGATGCATACTGAGGCCACACAACTAAACCTTAACAAAGTACCGAGTACTCTTCAGGCTCCTGAGCCTTCTGTGACTCTTAAGAGATTTGACAGAAAAGTCTCACAATCAGCCAGACATCACAACAGGACTTTTGTTTATCCGCCCACTATTTAATCCCTCTGACTTTTCTGAACAATTCTTTGGAACACCATCAAATACAAGATGTTCTCAAGGATCATACAAGCATTTGATAATCCCAGCAGTGGTCTTTTCTCTATCAAACACAACACAGCAAAGGGAACAGTTATTTCCATGTAATTTATCATAAAATCGAGACTGCTCTCCTCGATCTTCACGGAAAAGGGATAAATAATACAAATGTCTGTTACACGTGTTATCATGGGCAGTTGTAAAAGGGAAGGCCAATAAACTGCCACAGCAAACAGCTGAAAATGACAGGAAAAGGATTCAGCTAGAAACAACATAACACTTGTTTAATGCAGACAGCGTGTCCTTCAGCATTTCAAGTCCTGCCAACAGCCTCAACTAATCACGTAACAATGACGGATATCTTTTGGTTTACAATTTTGTGGTGGGGATGGTCAAAGACTATTTTCATTCTGCAGCCCGAGGTTTAAGCGGTTTAAACTTAAGACGTGTTGCAGAAAGTAAGCTTCAGGCACAATCTTACATACTACACGAATGACACAAACGCAAATGGCATCTACATGTTAAGAGAGATGGCTTCTTGAAATACCATAACAACAGAAAGTGTTGGGCGTCTATAATCAATGCAAATGAAAAGCTGCGCTGGCACAGAGTCATCCTGTGGCTCAGGACGCAGGCCACGCCAACGCGCTTCAAGTTAGGCCTGTACGACTCAAATGAAAGTCAGAAAAATACAAGAGCTAACAAAACACATCTGAGCTTACCTTCGAAATGATCTTTATCTTGAACTTGTGGTCGTGCCTTTTCTGTTTGAAACACCGGAGACACTCTGGTTATGAACCTTTTAATTAAAGCCCTAGTCTGTCAAGACGACTTTGACAGGAAACGCTGCTGCGCCATAGGCCACATGTCATCACCCGAGCTGGTGACTCACCTTAATGTATAGAATTGTTTTAATTTATTCCTTTGTTTGAGAACAGCAATCAATCAAACTTTATTTAAAGCCTGGAGCACCTTTCATACAAGTCAAATACAGCTTATTCAGCCTGACAAATATGTACACGCACTGTATACAAAAAGCAGGTTTTATTATGGAAAATTCAAAGATGGAAAACAGTTTAAAAAAGAATGCAGTTTTCCCCACTATTGTAAAACAAGAACACAAACTAAGTTTATTTCAAAATATTTTAAGTCCACCGACATTTTGTCAAAATGTCAAATGTTTTTTATGTTTCTTGTTAATCACGGACTCCTCGAGCATTATGTTGTTAACTAAATACATGTTTAAAATTAAGATGATTTGTTCCAGTGGTGCATAACAAGATGTGAACTTGTGGTAAACAATGACACAGGTCAGGCTTACCTCTATTGTTTAGTCTTTGTTTTTTTTCTGTAAGTACTGTATGAATATTTACTACTACATATACTGTAAAACAAATTAAATTACTATAGTGAAGCAGAATCTCTACACTGGCTTCAAATGACAGGCTGAAGAGCAGTGGGGGTTGATTTCATTAGCCCTGTGAGAATAAGCAGTTAACATCAATGAAAACAGAAAACTAAATCCAGATTGTTGATTGTTTTAAATTACAGTTACCATGAAAAACAGCCACACAAGCCCCACCGGATGGTTCTGCAGAGAAGTCTTCATGAAAACAAGTTTTTAATATGGAGCTTCTACTTGGACATGTTGCCTGAAATGGAATATGTGCACGTGTTGTGTCCTGCCCCTTGTCACGTCCTTCTCATCATTCTTCAGTGAAGAAGTTACAGTATAGAAGGTATTTAGGAACTATATTTCCAAACCAAGATTAAAACCTTAGGATACAGTATATTTCTTACTCGGAGTTCTTGTTTTTACATACCTGTATACGCTTTTTGTGCACATACTCTAGACTCAGGCCCAGTCTCACATACACACACTGCTAGTTTTCCACATATGGTATATTCTCACCATTTTGGAACATTTCAAGCGGTGACGATTCTCAATTCTGACTTTATATGCCTTCAAAGCATACCACCATGGATTTATTTGTGCTGTATGTCAGGATAAATCCCAGTCTGTTCGGTTGTAAATTAAGACCTGGGTCCGTTTGCTGACCACTGATGGTGGTCCGGATCTGCCAGCAAGCACAGTGATGGGTGGCCGAGATGTTTTGAATGGGCCCGGGGTATAAAGCCTGCACAACGCTGACATACTTTGACAAGATATTGGGGGATGATATTAATAATATGGAATGTGATGTCTGGGATTCATAACATGGCATTTGATTAATATCGTGCAGTGAAATAGTTAGGCAGCATAACGATTCCAATCATCTTTAAGAAGTCATATAGTATTGGTAACAATGCCACAGTTTCATTTTTATAAGTCATGACATACAGAGACATTCACATATAAACAAAGAGGGAGATAAGCATCAGAATGCTGTCTCTGTACGACATCTGTGGCAGGGATTGAAGTCTTCATCTCACAAACTGTCTTGCCTTATTCCAGACCTCCTCGAGTCTTGGTATTTTGCTGACAAAAATGAAAAACCGATGGAGACAAATGAACTCAGAGAAAATGTTACTAGTATAAACATGGTGGTGATGGTGATCGTTGGAACAAGAACAGATTGGAACCCCCCCCCCCCCAGCAAAGTTGAAACGGAGCTGAATATGAGAAGTATGATGTCCTCAAATTCTTCAACAGATTTTTCAAAACCACATCCAATTTGAAAGATGCACACAATGTGCTGAAATACCTGGGATATTAATCCACATAGCATGTTTTACAGGATGGGGTTTTAAGTGATTAATCTTCTCACACACACTTTTATAGGGATCACCCTCAGTGAAATGAGAGTGGAAATTTGAGATGTTTGTTGACCACATCTCGAGAGACAGATTCAAAATTTGGCATGGCTGGGTATACCATACCACGAAACTCAGTGGGGTTCGGATGGAGACATCAGATGGTGTCGGGGTAAAGGGTGTGTCCAAAGCTTCCGTGTGCTGACGTTGCCTGTGTAACACTCAGACAACCACAGTTTAACCAACACATTCCCAGACAAACACACAGGAGCAATCCAGTCATGGACAGAATTTTACAGTGGAAAGAAAAAGTAAGTGAATCCTTTGGAATTATTTACATCTGTGTATAAATTTGTCTTAAAATATGGTCAGATTTCATGTAAGTTGCATGCTTGCTTCAATACTTGCCAGCATCAAGGGGAAAATGGTTTCCCAGGTTAATAAAGGTAGAGTAACTTACAAGATAGACAATGACTCTAAATATGGAAGCAAATCTACTACAGAATGAGTTCAAACAAAGAAAAGTCACCTTGTGGAGTGGCCCAGTAAGAGAGCAGATGCTGTGGAATGAGCTCAGAGAGCCACTCACTCCACAGAGCCTAGGATTATGGCTGAGGAAGGTCCAAAAATCCTTCTGAAGGTTGTACAGGGCTTGATCCGCAACACATCATGCTAGTACTTAGGCTACCTGTGACTTAGATGAATATCAAATCACATTTTAATGTGGACAATCAGGTAAATCCAAAGGGCTCACATATACTTTTTCATGCAATTGCATGTCTCTGTCAGGGGACTGTGACATACTGGGACCATTTTAGTAATTTATATACCAACTTAAGTGTGTTTTTCAATGAGTTTGTGGACAACCATTATACACTTTTAGTGTTTACAAACTTTATAAGGATGTAAACACAAAGGTAAGCACATAAAAAGGCAAGATAAACAAAATGGGGACATGTGCACCAAATAATTTTAATTAATATAACAGCATTCCTTGTATTCCTTCCACAATTTCCCTGTTTTTGAAAACCACTACACCTTCTAACAGTGCATATCAATAAACATTTTCTTAACACGGATGTGCTACCCTCACAATGTAAATATGCACTATGCAGACCTTGAAAAAGACTGTGGCAACAACAAAATGCATCTGTTTCCAGCCTCCACATGTAAGTTCAATAGCATGCTGTAAAGCAAACAAAAATAAACAGTATGTTCTATACTGTATGAAGTAGTAGTTTCACTTTTTTATCATAATTATAGTACAATGGCTTTGAAATATCTGTGAAAAAGTATACAACCTTTTCCCATTCATATGAATTATAAAAATACTTGTCTTTGTTCACATATTCAAAATGTCCAGTGGTTTGCATAATAGTTTGATTGGATCAGTGTGTCTGATCTTCGTCACTATAGGCCTGTGAAAATAAAGACAAAACCATCAGTCTCCTTGAAACCAAAATCATAAACGCTTAACGTTAATAAGCATAATATTTGGGGCAATTATTATTAAATAACCATGTAATACTGTATTCGAACTTGTCATAACCAAACATGAGGTGGAAAACAACTGGCCAGTGGAGGTTTCACTGACCATATTTCACAATACGTTCTGGAGCGGTATACGCTTGACGTGCTGTAAGCGGTGAGCTTTGAGTTTGGTTGCCGTGGCAACGCTGTGGGCTCTCTGATAGCCAAGCAGCAGCAGCCCGCTCTCAGATCTCCCTCCAGACTGGCACACAGATGCTGGGAACTGTGGGCACCTCTGAAGCCACAAGAAGGAGAACTGCAGACAACCTCAAACCAGACAGACTTTCTCCTTCTCCCAGATGTTGACGCTGAGAGTTGATGCTGTCTGCTGCTTGTAAACTCAGAACCCAAGTGACTTAATGGAACTGGGCAACAGTGTTACTGTCTCCACACATGGCCAGCTTCCACCAATCACATTTCAGAGCCACTGTGCCCTCTATTTAGCCTGTGACGGTAATCGAAAGGACCATACATGAAATGGAGGCTTCTCCAGTAAATCATCTTTTGGTAGGTACAGTATTTCACTGTGGCTCTAAGATCAGTGACTGACACTGGGGCTCTCCTTACAACAGCAAAACTCTTAGCATGGTCGTTTTTTTTTTTTTTTTTTTGGTGACCCGTGGAAAACAATACACAAGGAGGTGAGTCTGTCTCTATGGGTTTTAGGCTATGAAAACTGAATGTTCAGATTCTTACCTGAAAACAGAGATCTCATACTGGCATCTCGTGTGCCACCTGAAGAACAAAAAAAAATTAAGACAAAGTATGTTTAAGGACTAGAACTAGCTTCACACTTTGTAAAATATGCTGTCACTGTTATTAGCTGTCTTGCTCAAAACAGCAAAGAGAGGGGTGAAACAGCTTTTTGCACTTTTTATGCTTTAGCATTTGTATGGAAAGAACAAATAAGATATAACATGTTGATTAGTGAGCTGTATAGGTGCTGTTAGGTGGATTTAGTTACCTTAACAGTGCCTGGCAGTTAGCATCACTTAGACACATCTGCTGTCATAATGGAAACAGGGAGCTACTGCACTAATGAAGCAAGCCCCATATCCATGGACACATGTGCACGCTGAGGTACATGGACAGCTTAAAAACTACTTAATAGATAAACATGTCAACTATGACATTTTTTTCCCACTTTTCTTTCTTCCAAAAAAAAAAAGTGATTTGAAAACATCTAATTAGAGTAAGGATTAAGCAGTACAAGATTTCTCTGGTAGTTTTTTCTGTTTCTTGGTTGTATATATATTTTTAAATTGTAATGTTACTCAGATTTTAGTTGCCAGTCTGCAGCGCGCACACATAAAGACATAAAAACCTGATTCCGGCAAACCGGCCTGTGGGCCCTCTCTTACGTCACAAAGTGCTTCGTCACGTTTTGCGGCTGTTGGGTTTCTTTTTCTCTGTCAGTCTCTTTCTCTCTCTCTCCCTGTGTTTGAGCCAGCTCTAATTCGACAAGTGACTCATACATGTATCCCTTGTCCACATGCCATTACCATTGCCAAGGCTTAGAGCAGACCCCTAGGGGCTATTAGGAAAATGTACTATATTCATTTATTTTAGATACACATTAGTCAAAACAAGGGCTCTCCCAAAGAACTTGTCAGGTTTATAATTCCATGTGACAGTCATTTGTCTTCTTGAACTTTAGTTTGGCAGGAATTCTTGATTCATAATGGAAGCTATCTTTTAAATCCCACATTCACTTGATCTTCAATTTGCTGATTCCAAAACTTTGTTTACTAAAAAAACAGGACCAGTTCATTTGAGAACATTTCTGGCAAATATAATTTTGGAGCCATTCATAAATTAACATCAGACCAACATGGCTGTGTTGCTCTCTCCATCCAGGACATTGCATGGAGATGTTCTGACAACTATAAGCCAAATTATATATATAACTATAAACCACACCATGAATTCTGGTAGTGAAACACTTCCATAGGGTCTCACAAAACCTAAGGAATAGGTTTATATGGAATTCTCTGCTGATTTGTGTGGTCTGAAGAGTATTAATCATGTTTTCATTGATGAATGTACTGAGGACCTTTATGTTTCCCCGGAGGATGAGCCTTTCATCAAATAATAAACTTTGCACATGATATCTTATTATCTAATATTACTAATATTGTCATTACATTTGCAGAGCATATTAATTCTTACAAGGGATTAAACACTATTGATTTTAATAACCTTTTCCTTCAGTGCCACCACCATCAGGATATATGTTATAGCCAAACTGTGCTGTTTGTTCTGTCTCTCATCTTCATACCCAATACAGCAGGCCTTAAAACTACTTGCTCTGCAGAAACATGCAAGCAAACATGGGTGAGTTGCATTTAGTGCTGTTATAGTATAAATTCGTACAACCAACTTGCGACCAGAGACGTTCAGCCATATGTTTTGCATTATTAAGAGAACAAACATTTGAAAGTTTGTTATTGGACCTCAGTGGATTAGTTGTATTCTGGCAAGCCCCTGGCTATCAGACCATACTGCCACATACACTGTGATTTATGGCCCAGAATATTCAAGGAGCTCTGATCTAACTCTGTCATCTATAAAGCCAAAGTAATATGTTGTACTGTATCCCAGCCAGACCACTACTATGACTGGATTTATGACAATCAAGCAAGAACCTCCACATTTATTGACTGGATCTGGATGGAGATATACAGTATACCTTACATGATGCCAGGAAAGGAAATTCTACATGACAATGTTGTCACCCCTCAGAACTCCTGCAGGATGTGAAATATCTCCATTTTCATACATCAGCCTTCGTTCTCCAACTCAGAATTTTACAGGAAACTCTCTCACATTAATTTTCACTTTTTAAAAGATCGATTGCCACTTTAATGCATTACTCACTGTGGTGAAGTGAAAAGAAAAATGTGGGAAGGTAAAACATTAGGAAGTCAGTTTGCTAGTGTTGTGAAGTGTGGATCAAAAACAGAGGACTTGAGAAACTCAGAGCAACTTAACTATGAATGTATCCTCACTAGAGTAAATGGAACCTAATTCAGGAGTTTAAGAAAGAAACAAAGACAGAACAGGTTGGTCACTCACTCTTATCTTGTTCAGGAGGCTCCAGGATGTCACTGTCTGTGTCACTGGGAATATGCCAGGGCTGTCTGATGGCCTGTAACTGCTGGTAAAACTCATCCTGAAACAGAACATAACAAAAAAAGAAAGCATGGAAGACTTTTCTCATTTTTACTTTGCCTAGATAAAGGACAAAAAAGAATAGAAATGAGTTTATATTTTAAAAATAATCTTTATTAAGAATATTTATCCATCTGTTTGGCTCTTTACATGTACATATCTCATTCAAGCTCTTGAAGTTAGTGAAAGAAAACATTGGTGCAGAAATATGTCTTCAATCCAGCTGCAAGCTCTCATTCCACTTTAGATTTCAAATGCAGAAGTAGTCCCAAGAAAAAGGGGCAATAGGTCAAAAAGTGATAGGGACCTGGATACAGACAAGATGGCAAGATTTACACAGTCAGCCTCACCCAGAAGTTGTCTTCTTTCTTGTTCATCCAGTATTTTAAGAGAGGTTCAGGACTCCCTCACTCTCTAACCAGGCCTCATTTGAAGGTTTCAGTCCTTCTACATGGGACCGGGTGGCCTTAATAAAATCATCCTGGGTGCAGCGTTGTTTTTGACAGTCTCATGAGGTGTCAACTAGTCTGTCAAACGATCGATAAAGTCTCCAAAAAGGTCTCACATTTAACAGGGCTGCTGTTAACTAAATCATGAAAGGAATAGAAGAAAGAAATCTCATCGAACACTCCACTTTTATGCCAGACTAATTTTTCTCCAGTGAAATGACATCCTACTGTACAGACCTCCATGACTTTCCAATAAAGCCCACACAAAGCATGTACATGTGTTTGTGAGGGTATGCACATGTGCACTCACTGATACGTTTTCTGAGTAAAGGCTCTCATCTTCTACAGGCCAGCGTTACTTGGGCAATGAGTCTGTTTGACACTCAGCACACAGCTTCACTCTCACCAAACAACATTACAGTGAAGATGGAGTGATTTTCAAGTCCATCCCCCTGAATTTATGATAATTTTACTCTGTGTTTTGATCTATTTTATTGCAAGTAGGAAATAACTAAGATGTAATATGTAGAATATTCTGCCACATTGTGGCCTTGATGATACTACATGCCTCTTTTTGTACAGATAAAACAAATATGATACACGTTTATATTCTGGGCTTTACTGGTTCTAGAAGGTTGGCTTTTGTTACTTCTGACAGAGACATGTTAGCTGTTCTCCCTCTACTTTCAATCTTTATTCTAGGCTAAGCTTCCCACTTTAGCTCACCATCTGGCTTTAACATGTATTCTACAATGGTGCAAGATATGAGAGTAGTATCAATCTTCTCATCTTACTCTCTACTGGAAAGTGCAGTTACCAAACTATTTCTTTATCAGCAGTTACATCACTGATATTTCTTTTTCTTTTTTTTAGTTTCTTTGGCAAGTTTGTTATTTATTATTTACATCATTTTGAAACCTTAAGCAAATATGTGCTTTTGATGATAAGGCATATCTCTCAGTTTAGGGTCTTACCTCAGACAGATAGGCCCGGAGGCTGGCACCCAGGCTGTCTGTAGTGCTTAGTCCAGGAGGGGTGAGCAGTGGTCGGGGGTGCATGGGCTGACTTGTGGGTGTCACAGGGCGGCTCCGGGACCTCCTGAAGGTTACTTCTTTGTGAGATCCAGAGTTAAAAGTAGAGCGAGACAGCAAACTATTTGGGGTCAGGGGCCTGCTGGGTGTTCTAGGGGTTTGTGTCCTGCTACCAGGGTTGCTGGGAGATTGAGTCCGACCCATGACCAGGGAGGTGGGCTTATGGCTAAACAAAGGGAGGCCCACATCACAGGGCTTGCCTGAGAGGCTGCCAGCTGAAGACTGAGGCCTGGAGACCAGGCTGGGGAGAGGAAGTGTGTCAGGTAGGGTTCTGTGGTGCAGAGGGGTGTGGAGCAGACTACTGTGAGGATTATTGGAGCCCCGGGTGGTCATCTTCCCTACTTCTGCCAGCTTGGCCAAGTCCTTCTCAACCTCTGGAGGAAAAAGAGATTAATCCATGTCAGCATCAGATATTATACCTTCACAGTCAACAACACATGGTTTGCTCTCACATTTAAATGACAGGGCTTGAACTTCTTCTTTTTATTGAAAGTGCTGGTAACACTTTACATAAATCCCCAGGTAAATAGATGAGGTCATTTCATTATAAAGTCATGCTTACGTTTCTTGTATATTCATAGGCAGTGGAGATTAGTAATCATCAGTTCTGCAAGACTGATAATTCACAAACTTTGCTGAGCCTTAAAGTGGGCGAGACTGCTTGGTGTAATCCTTCTTCGAAGCAATGATGACAATATTTATAGACCCTGTAAAGTGTGGTGAATTCAGCTTCCTCTGTCAGGAAAGGCTCCAAGTTGATATACAATAAGCACAGCCTAGTAATATTTTTGCTGCCTCTTCCTGACAAAAACACGTTTGTTTGCCTCACCGGTAGTCTCAAAAACATTTCTGTTTGTAGAAGGCGCAATGCTGCCAGCTTCTGCGATCAACATCTGGGTCATTTTTTCCACATTTTATGTTTTGTTTTTTTCCCTTCAGATCTTGGCAATTGGGATTCAACAAACCAGTCTGGAAGTTATCATTTGAGAGGGGTAGTTTCAGGAATGACTCATCAGAAGTGAGTGTTTCTGGAAAAATGTATACTATGTGTGACGTTAAATAAATTACAAAAAGAAACATGACAAGTATTTCACCAACCTTGACTTCCTTGTTTATTAGCAATGGTGCTTTCCTCCTATACAAACAACATTTTTCTGTTACAAAAATGTGAAACACATGCTTCTATTCACTAACAAATATCCATTTATTATGCAAAGTCTGCAATACTACTCTAATGCAGCTTTGGGACATTACTTAGTTGTTTGAAATCTATTCCAGACTGTTTTGGATACCATCCGTCAGGGATCAAATACATTTAATTCTCTGACATGAGTAAATAGATTGCTGTTTCTGTGCTTAATCAACTCTGATTATATTGAGGGTGACCTTTACAGTGAAATAGATTGCAGAGCACATACTGTATATTGCCTTGCCTGTGTACTCAATAATTTGCATGTGTTCATTGTGTCTGTGTTGCTTTAACCCTAATGCATTGTGTATGTTACTTGTCTAAATAATAAGAGAGAACATTTAACTCTCCAGCATGTTCGGGGCTTATTATTACATCAGTTTATGGAAGTGGGAGGACTACATTATGTACCATTATGGAGAACACCATAAGGAAACTTTGTTGTTAGGCTGACAGTCTGTAATCATAATCTAAATCATCAGCTAAATCATAATCATAAGACCCATTGTATTCAGGTACCTCTGAATGGAAATGGAATGTAAATAAACAAGAAAATGGTGAAAACAGCCAGTAAGTTCCACATATGATGATTTCCCAGTTTAAGCCCATGTCTACCTACAATATATTCACCACAATTAGTATTATTCTGTTATCATAAACAAGATATGTTCATTAGCGATCTCTTCCCATAAAGCTGATATTTTTATCTTTAGTCATGATCAACCATTTCTGTAAATGGTTGCTCCACAGAGGATTTTACTGTAAACTGGTTGCTTCTCTTGGCTTCCTGGCATTAATGAGCAGCCTGTCACAACCAGCTTTATTCTGAAATTCTGTGTAGTTGACTCAGTTTAACACAGAAATAATATAAAACATCATGCAGACACTGATATATGATGACAGCTCTCACAGATCAAAGAGTTGCCATCAAAATCCATATGGTAGAAAAGCTTTGCTCCATTATTTCAGTAATAATGAGGGGGGGGGGATGAGAGAGAAAGAAATAAAAACAGATTATATCTAGTAAAGCCTTTGATCAAGCAGCACATGCACATTATACAACTGTTCAAAAGTGCAGAATTTACTGGGTCTCTCTGCTGAAAACAATCAAAAGCGCTAATGACATATCATTTCTCTATACTTCATCTTTAGGCTTGCAACAATACACTACACTGCTTGTCTGAATAAATTAATATATCAGTCATATTGTCACTGAATAGATAAATCAAGTACAAATATGGGCAGTAATACATATATACAGTACTATGGTGTAACTAAAAATGATAATTAAACATTAATACTGTCTGAGTACAGATCAAAAAGTGTCTGAAACAAGTAACAAGTGTCAAAACTTGAAAGCCTTGTTACTTATACTTTGGTTAGATAATTATGGCTTTAAATAAAAAAAACTGCTCTAATTCTTAACTATATGTTTTTAGTTTAAGAAAAATTCACTCCTATGTGTTGATCAGTTTGTAAAATGAAAAGGGCGTTAAAATATATTGATATTCACATCAGCATAGGCATTTTTTAAAAACAAATTCATCTGTAGGTGAGACAGCTTTTAATTTAAACTGTACATAACTACTTTAAGCAACACATTCAGTGAGTAGCAATTAGATTTTTTTTTTTTATCACAAGAGGCAGACAAAGGGAGACTGCACAGCCGCATACTACAACTGGGCTAATAACTTAAGATGAAAAGTGAGGCTCTGGCACCAAACACAGGAAGCTAATACAGGCTTGAAAGAGTTTGAGGAGTTTCAGTGAAATACATGATGGGAAGCCTTCAGCCTGAATATTCAATAACTTAGCATAAAACAACTAGAAATCAAGACCATCTGAATATCTTGGTGCAAACATGTTGTTAACACATGCCACCAAAGCACCAGCGTGTTGTTTTATTTAGAGGAAACCAGTGCATTCAGTGCATTCAGTGCTGGTGGCAGATGAGCTGAGAAGTGTGTTACAGCTGGGATCACTGCTGGGGGTCAGTGATAGTTTCACCAAGTGGGATCAGTACACTCCAGATGAGTTTGCAGAGGCGTGTATGACTTATTTACACACAGTGATGCTGTCAAATGGAGTGGGAGGACATCTATAAACATGACGGTAAATTGCGACATTCCCTCTGGCCTCCATTCCGGGATTCATTTGATTCATAAGAAAATCCATATTAAAAAAACAAGAGCAGTCTGAACTGCCCAATCAATCAAAGATGAACTTTGACCTGCACTAATAAATATGATATTTAAAGTGCCACACAAATTCCATTTTATCAGTCAAAGCCAGTCTCCAGCACAAACTGATTTAACCTGTGACTGATTTAACCTGTCAAAGTTAGAGCTGAGAGGCATTTTTGCCATTTGGAAATGGTTTTAATACATTTTTCTATTTAGTCTTGACACATTTGAGCAGGAAGATAAATTTAAATTAAATTTGATTAAATGAAGAAAATCCTTCAGCCAAAAGCAGTGCATTCTTTGGCTGAACTCTCCATCAGTGTCTGCATTTCAAAATGTGTGTGTATGTATTGTAGACTATGTTTGTATTCTGAAAAAGTATTTGATTAGACCTAGCTATATAACTAATCAAGAAAGCCACTAACACATGCACCGATGCATACTGTATAGCCACACAGGTAAAGTGCGTGTAGCTTACATGCACACCACACATACTCACACACACATACACAAAGCTGCCTACCGGCGAGCTGTTTGCCCATGTTCTCCAGCTCTTTCGAAAAGAGAGAGTCACCCAGTAGGAGGCCCGTTTGCCCGACTGAGCTCCCGCCTCTCACAGCTTTCAGATCAGTCTCCCAGACAGCGTGACGCTAGTTAGTGAGGAGAACAGAAAACACAGAAAGTCACATTAGAGGAAAGGCCCTTCAATTAACTTCTTATATATTTTGAGCTAAAGCTAGAAATATCTGAGCCATATCTTTTGGAACAAAGAGGTAATTATTATTTATTGAGGTTTAGAAAAACACAAGAAACCACAGAAAGTGTAGATGAAAGTGTAGAGCATGCGGTGCACCGTGTTTAGTGAATGCAACATGTTAGACTGTCAGTAGTGGTTCAAGACATTTTTGTGTAATGATTAGTAAAACTATCTGTCCTCAAAAGGCCTGGCAGCAGCAAATTGTTACCAGAGGTTTTATTATATATATATATATATATATGTATAGAGAGAGAGAGAGAGAGAGAGAAAGAGAGAGAAAGTAGCAGATATAGATTCTTTTTCTGGCTTTCTTTCTAAGTGTATGATTTGCAAAGCAATCTGGAGACAGACTGCAGTTTGACACATCCTGTAATGGCAGCATGCCTAATCCTCTTTTTAATTCTTTTGATGGAACACAAGTGGCCAGATAATCTGTTAAGCCGATGGACCGAGTGCACATGAGCTCCAAACACAGGTGAGAAATAAAATCTGCCAGCCATCACTCCACCTCCTGTAAGATTGGTTTACTCTACCTAAGTTATAATACCTCTCATGCCAGCACTTACATCATTTGATGTGCTAAGCATTTAATGAGAGACAGAGTTGTCCTGACAAATTGCTGACACAGAGACAGACTAGGACATCTGGTAATATTCATCCAATGTAGCGTTCCAATGATATTTAAGAACAAATCTGCCAAATCTGGGATAAAAGAAAAGAGTCATTTTATGATTTTCTGAATTTAAAGTGGACTAAAATGCCTTTCCAAGGAGGAGGTAAGGAAAAAAAAAAGTGAAGTTGCTAACCTTGGTCAGTGTGATGCTGATCAGTTTGATTGCTTATATTTTAATGTGAATTACTCCAGTATTTTCTCAGCCCATAGCTGCCAACGCACAAGTAAGATTGTGTTTACTCATGTAAATGCACAGACATGTAGCATGTCACCATACCCAAGAAAACTTTGAGGTACATCTGCTGGCGCCAGAAAAAATATAAATAGCCCCTAATCCAGACTACTGAAATGACTTTATCACTATACACTGATTAGCATCCATCCAAACTTCCTAGAATTGGTGCTATGGATGTCTCATAAAATGGTTCAGCATAAATGCTCCAGCTGCTGATGTATCATCTTTGCTGTATATATCCAAATCTTTCTTTTGTGTCTCTACACATCTCCTGCTGCTTCTTGCAAATCCAGATGTTTTGGTCATCCTACTCCCTGGCTGTGCAGCTGTGCCCTGCAGATCATCTTATCTGAACTCAGGATATTAGCACTCCTCTGCAACAAACATTACAACTGTCTATATAAACATGATGGAGTAAAGTTTCATCTCACTGTGTTTGAGTATATGTTAACAAACAGTGTGTCATGTTGGCAGAGACCGACAGGAAGTGACCGATGTACTGTAGTTACACATGGTTGCAGAGATGACCCATCCTCTGATAAATGACAGAAAATGATTCCTGAGCTTTAGGCAGGAGTGTCTGTCAGATATGTGAGGCATTCTGTGGCAGCAGAACCACAACACCACAAAGCAGTTATACCCCTCCACGTGAGCTGCCATTACAGCTAAATCCCCTCCCCAAATATATTTCTTCTTGGTGGTATCCCCCCAGATCCAACAGCATGACGTCATTTTGTCCTCCTCTCACTCTTGGTCTTCTCAGCTCAGGCAAACACGACCACCAACAGATTCACAACTTACAGTTCCTTTAATGCATTTTCATTATCTTCTTTTAAAAGTTATTAAAATGTTTCTGCTTTATTGTGGTGCTTTAAGGAAACCCAGGCTTAATTTACATCACCCACTGAAGTACATAGATTTCTTCTTGTCTGCATGTCTACAGTGTTGCATTTGCACTGTTACTACCCATGAGCTCCTCTGTCCACTAAAGAAAAGACTATGCAGAAAGTAGGACTGTATATCCTGGAAACCGCAAACTGGTGGGTCTGCACAGGCCCATGGCTATGCAAACAAACAATACTGAGCCTATAAACAGTTTACCTCCTCAGATAACATCGATAAATAAACAGACATTACCATCAAAATATGACTGATGTTCCGTCAAGTTTTCAGAAGATATCAACACATCACATTCAAAAACAGAAAGAATCTACACAGTAGGTAGAGGCAAAACACAAAAACAAAACTAAACTTAAACTGACATGAGTACACACTGAAGAGACACACTGAAGTGCTGAAAACTGCTTTCCCTTCACCATGTTTTAAACCATTGTTTGGATGCTTGGAAGGGATGCTCTAATCTGCATAAATAAAAAGATGAGACAAAATTCATTTAGGAGTGACTTAAGAGGAGGGATGCTCTAATCTGCATAAATAAAATTCATTTAGGAGTGACTTACGAGCATATTAAAGTCAGTGGTGCAAAACCCCAGATATATAATCTCTCTCCCAGCATGGCAGAACTTAAAAGAGAGAAGGGGAAATCCCTCTGGTGACTCCTCTGTCCAGCTCACTAGCATGAATCTTGTTTGTTGCACAATTAATAAAAAAACAAGAAAAAAGAAAGGCAACTCTTAAGTGTATCTAGAAAATACTAACCAGGACGTACCAGACTTATCTATACTCTAAGTCACATATTTGATTTGAGGTGTTGGGAGCAGACTAGTGCCACATAAAAAGCCATATGATATTGTAGCTACAACTTTATAAATTCATTTAGCAACAAAACTAAACTTTTGCTTTGTACCATTCATATGATGCTGCATCATAATAATTATCTTTTTTCTACCATACAAGTGAATAGTTTCCTCTGGCAGACTTTATGATGGTAACACTCATACAAACTAAATGTGATTAAAGCAAATCATATAAAAAAGAAAAGAATGTGGAATTTTTCATCTCTCTACCCCAGATGAACCTAGACGCTGAGGGATGAGCAGTAACAGGCTATTACAAATTACTTTTGCCTTTCAAAAAGCACCAAACATAAACAACCACAAAATAACCACATTAGCTACAGCAGACGACAGGATGCATTTGTGGTTTTTATATGGGACATACCAGACATGACTTAACCTATGTATTGTAAGGAGAGAGAAATTTGTCAAAAAGCCCATTTATAAAATTGAGAAAATGAGAAATAAAATAGGCTGTTTGATGTTAATAGGTGCGCAGTTTCTGTCATTTCTGGATGGCGTCTATAGTATATACAGTATGTGGTCGGTCGTTCGACCACAGGCTTTGATTCAATAGGCCCTTCAGTCTCTAAAAGTCTGCTCCCAGTTAGCCTGGAGCCTCTTTGGATCTGCTCCCCACACAGAGCAATCTCTTGGCTCCAAACTCTTTATTCTTCTTAAAAAATGCTGTTAAAAGCCTTGTCTAACAGTTAGAATGGGCAATTAAAAAAAAAAGGTATAAACTTTTTGGGGTTGGGGCGGGATTTCTGAATACAAAGACCTCTTAGCTGTCCACGTTATTAACAGCATGTGCATTTCCATCTGTGTGCGAGTCTGGTGTGTGGCACATTAGGCCTCTATAGAGTTCTTTCCTGAAGCATGTGAGGTTATCACGCAATCCTTCTATTGAACAAAACTGTTACTCCAGTGACACATAAATATATAGGACAACTTCTAAATCAGTCTCAATTGTCAGTGTGTCATCAGATATGTATACATTTTTTAATCTTTTCAGACTGCACACGAGTGGCCTGAGAGATAAGCAATAGGGAGATATCTAATGAAGGTATCACGTGTTCACTGCTATCATCTGTCACGTTAGCTGGAATGTACACATAAGGATGGATCAGTTTTGCTTGGCTCTTGTCCTACTCACAGGAGGCTTGAGGTGGTTTTTGCTCAGTCTCAAACAATAGAGGCTGAGGAGGAGAGAGCAACATGATAATTGATTGCCGTAAAGTGATCTTAATTGTTTGGTGATGGATGGAGGGGGGACACTTACAGAGCCTGACACTTGAGACTCGCATTCCTG